CCTCTTTCAGGAGACTTTGAGTTTGGTTTTACTCTTCTTGCTATTTCATCCAATGGGGACAACACCATCTTTTCCCTTTCTAAGTTCCTGGAGACTCTCACTTGGACCTCTCCTGATAGCGATCCTCTCAAACCCATGCACAGTAGCACCCAGTACTGTAAATCTGACAACTGAATCTTAACTTACTCTTTTACAGACACCATGGGAATTCACACCATGAAAGCAAAAGGAAAATATTCGAGCTCTTTGGTTTCTCATCAAACAAAGTAAGATGACTTACCAAATATATTTAAAAACAGGTGGGTCTGCTTTTCTATTTTTCCAAAGTAGCATGCCAAGAAACACGAATCTAGAGAGTTCATATGTGACCTACAGTGTTATCTGATGGCAAAATTATTCCCATTTGAGTGGAGGGCTTCAAACAAGAAATAACATTAGGAATTGATTGGAGGCCAAGATGAGGAGGACAGAACTGGTTTTCTAAACAACATACATCTCTATTATTGTTATATTTCTTTATTTCTGTGATAAATTTACATAGATTATATTTAAATAATGCAGGAATTTTAATGGAATGAAAAGTATAATTTTATAACACTAGAGTTTATATAATTAGAGTTTTCATTGTGGAAAGTAAAATTGTTTCCTTAGAGTTTTCTGTTTTGGAATGCCACTTGCTTTGTTAGATAACCTTCTTGTAATCCCTGTTCCTTTTGTCTGTTGCTTTTTTACTATGTTATTTGAAACACATAAAGGATATGTATGTTTTCATTTAAATGAAATGAACACCTGTAAACCCATCTCTTGAACCAAAAATTAAAACATTTTGTTTATTTGTTTATTTTTATTAAAGTACAATTACAATGTGTCAATTTCTGGTGTACAGCACAATGTCCCAGTCTTGTATATAAATACATATATTTTTTTCCATATAAAACATTTAAAATCAGTTACGTGCTACTCCTTAGACCATCTCCCTGCTTCCCAAGAGTATTAACTGCCCAGTACTTTGTGTTTATTATTCACTTGGTTTGCACACATACACACACCGTAGAAAGACAGATAGATGGATAGAAAGAAAAGCTGATTAAAAATACATTGTTTAATTGTTCATTTTTGAACCCTATAAAAATCCTGCCATATTTGAAGTGATTTTCTGAGTTGTACTTTTTCCACTGAACTTTGTGTTCAAGATTCTTCCAGGTTACTGCATTTAGCTGTAGTTTATTCATTTTCACTCTTCCATTACTTGAACATACTACAACCGATTTATTCATTCTCTTCTCAGTGTGTGTATATGTATATGTATATATCTATGCATTTATCTAGCCTTATGTGTGTATGTACATAACACATATATATAGATATAGGGAGAGAGAGGGAGGAGTTGTTTGCAGATCTTTTCCATTATGGCTGCTAACATCACCTGTCTACATATATCCTGGCATTCATGTACAAACGTATCTCTTGTGTGTACTCCTGAGAATAGATTTGTGGGCTGAGCTTTACTGATAAGTAGTTATTTTCCTAAATGGTTGTCCCAATTTAGACTTCTACGAGTAATGTGAAGAATTGCCACTGATTCACATCTCCATTTAGTTGGTATTGTCAGACTTACTAATTTTTGTTAATCTCAACCACAGCATTAAAAGCAGAGGCAAACCAATAGATAAACAAGATTATACTGTATAGCACAGGGAAATATATACAAGATCTTGTGGTAGCTCACAGTGAAAAAAAAAATGTGACAATGAATATATGTATGTTCATGTATAATTGAAAAATTGTGCTCTACGCTGGAATTTGACACAACATTGTAAAATGACTATTACTCAATAAAATAGAGTTAAAAAAAAAAACAGAGGCAAACCTTCTGTCAAAGTTAATGGGTTTGTTGTTTCCAAATGGAAAGTTCTGCAACATCCGGCCATGAGAAATTGATTGTCCATATGGCAACTCCTGATTATTCCCACTTCACCAGTTTGGAAGCTGTGTCATAGTTCCTGCTACTCTTCCCTGTGGTAATTAGGCTTATTTATTTATTTATTATTAGTTTTTTATTTTATTTTATTTTATTTTAATGGAGGTACTGGGGATTGAACCCAGGACCTCATGCATGCTAAGCATGTGCTCTACCACTTAGCTCTACCCTCCCTCCCCCCACTGTTCCTCTTATTGGCAGCCATCTTATTTGGTATACAGCATAATGTAAACCATTTAATACTTCAAAGTGATCTCAGCTATATCCATTCAGGGCATTAGACTCTCATGAGATTTTGTTAACACATACACTTTTTTTTCTTCCTTTATTTTCAAATAGATTCTTTTTAAAAAACCCACAATAAAAATTTGACATGGAAAAGCAGTAATGAGAATGCTTTTCTTGTGTGTGTTTTTAAAAATGTTTTTCTTAGTAAAAATCAACCTAATTTTAGAAATTAAAACTATCTAAATCTTTTTTTGTCCTCCCTTTAGCATGTTGGTATCTGCCAATGTTTTCTAGAGATGACATCTGAAAAGCTGAACTAAGAATGAGGAGATCCCAATTCTAAACCTAACACTCACTCACTGAGTGTCCTCTGATCTCCTGGGCAACAGTGTCCTCACCAGCAAAATGCGGATAACATTTGCCCCGCCAGTCTCATGGACTATTAATGTGAGAGTTAAATGATACAGTGCACTCATATATTCATCCAACCTCCACTAAAGTCCTATGTTGGATTATAGTGTTTTACCACCTGCTTTGAGAAAGCAAAAGACATGTGAGAATTGCTTCCCCCATCCCCCACCTCCCAGGTATATTATTTAATATATATATCTATATATATATATTTTTTTGGAGCTCAGAGTATCCCCTTCCCTTTATGTCCCACTTTGCTTATCAGTTCCCTACCAGTCAACTTCTGTAAGTGTGGGCTATTGCTTCTGCATAATGAAAGACATTATTGCCTTGCTAATCAATTTTGTTAAAACATAGGAAATTGCCACTCACAAAGTGCTAGGGAAAAAAATCCCTAGCCAAAAGGACCTGGAGATGAAGCTGAATCAATGACAAGCCTGTCTTCTTAGTGAACTAGAGAGAGAAAACAGGCATGATGACCCCAGTAAGAGGAGAGAGGAGTCATTTTTCTTCCCTTTCCCAGGCCAGTGAAAGGTTTGGAAACTTCTGAGGCCAGAAGGGCTGAAGTGAGAGGCATGCTTGCTCTTCAGGTTCAAGATAAAGATGTATAAACATTTCACTATGGGCTAGCTCAGCTCTCCCTGCCTAGAATGCAGTCAGGTACATCAGTAGGTTGTCAGAACGTAGCTGTTTTAGGACTAGAGAGAGCATCTGTCATGGTTCTGAACACAAGACTAACAAACCACCACCCCTTCAGCACTTCCACAGAAACCAGGAGAATAAACTTGTTGTCTCCTGCATTGCTGTGGGGCTGGGTGGTTTTTCACTAGTCATGTGTCAGAGGAATTTCCTCTGTTGATATGAACACCAGTGGAAACTGTTTCAGTAATTACAGTAATACACAGAGCCTATGGAGAATATTTATGCAACCTAGTTATTGGGAAGGGACACCAGATATGGCAACAAAGACCTGGGTTTGAGTTCTGGCTCTGCCACTTGCCAGCTAGACTGCAGGTCCCAGGTGTGGTAAAATAGGAGCAGTTTTGGTGATGAATAGCTACCGTAGGGTATGCTTGCTACTCTTTTCCTGTGCTATCTCAGTGAAACCTCTCAGGAGCCCTTTGACATAAAGCCATTATCCAATTCTCATTCTCATTCTCATTCTTAGTCTTACTCCATAGATAAGGAAGCAAAGTCTGGTTGAATGGTTAAAAGCCTTTGGTTGGAGTCAGGTAGAACTGGTTTGAAAACCTTCACGTCTATCACTCACTGGCTCTGTGAGCTTAAGTAAATCACTTCACTTCCCTGAGCCTCTGTTACTTCATCTGTAATGCAGGGATAATTATAAAGCAGGACCTAACATTTTCAACATTTATTAAATGTTCAGACTGTCCAAAGTACATGATACGAGTTCACTCAGATTTTCACAATAACTCTATGTGGTAAGTAAAATCGTTATCCACACTTTATAGAGGAAACTGGGAGGTTAAATAACTTATCCAAGTTTACACAAATAGGTGATAAGAGCCACAGTTGGAACTCAGGGATAGTAATAGTACCTCAGGGCATTAATGTGAGGGTTAAATAATCTATTATGATAACAGATGTAGAGGTAAATATATGACAAAACTAGCACTAAGGATGAGAGGAGATGTAAATGGGAACATACTGTGATAAGGCTCATATTATACATGATGTGGTTTAATAGTGACTCAAGGTAGACTTGATAAATTAAGAATGCATATTATAACCTCTGGAGAAAGCACTAAAAATAAATTACAGAAGTGTATCATATCATGAAATTATAAAACATTAATAGAGGAAATATAAGAAAATAATAAAATACTTCTTTAATCCAAAATAAAGCAGGGAAGGAAGAACAAAGGAGTAAAAAATAAATAGAACAGCAGGGAGGGTATAGCTCAATGACAGAGTGCATGCTTAGCTCCTAGGTTTAATCCCCAGTACCTCAATTAAAAAATAAAACAAATAAATAAGCCTAATTACCCCCCCTTAAAAAAACCCACAAAAATTAAAAAATAAATAAAAAGAACAAATAGAAAACAAATGGCAAGATGGTAGACTTAAGCCTAACTATATCAGTAATTACTAAATTGGACTAAACATCAAAAAGGCAGACATCATCAAACTAGGTAAAAAAGCAATACCCAGCTACATGCCATTTTAAAAAGACATATTTCATTTATTTTTTATTATATACTTTATTTTTAAAATTATTATTATTATTATTTTTAATGGTGGTACTAGGGATTGAACTCAGGACCTCATGCATGCTAAGTATGAGTTTTAACAACGAGCTGTACCTACCCCCCTAAAAGAGGCATACTTTAAATATAAAGTATATACACAGAAAAATTGAACATGTTGAAAGTAAAAAGAATAAAAAATCTAGTGTTAATACCAAAGTAGACTTCAGGGATTACTAGAAAGGATTTCCAGAGAGAAAGACAGAAATATTATAATGATAAAAGGCTCAATTCATCAGGAACACTTAACAGTCCTGAATGAGTATACATCTAATAAAAGAACTTCAAAATACATGAAAGCAAAAATTAACAATTAAATGGAGAAATAGACAAATCCACAATTATAGTTTGACATTCCTCTAATCTCTGTAATCTTTGTAACTGATAGAAAATGCAGAGAAAAACTCAGTAAGGATATGGAACAACATTATCAGCCAACTTGATCTAATTGACATTTATCCAACACTGCATACAATAACTGCAAAATACCATCCTTTCAAGTGCAAATAGAACAGTCATCATGATAGGCCCTATGATGGGTCACAAAACAAGTCTCAATACAGTTTGAAGAATAATCTAGTGCAAGTAATTATTAAAATGAGGGAAAGTGTTAGCTCTGTCTCATAATCTATGGTTCTATGAATTCTATTCAGACATAAGAAGTTTTCTAGCACCTTCTTCCCAGTCTAGCAATATTATTATTAGGTTTTTATTAGGTTGCTTATTAGGTTTTCCAAGATCTTACTAAGATTAAGACCCAGTTCTTTAATCTCCTGAAGAATTGAATTATTTAAATAGAAACTGCAAAGAATGAGAAGAGCACGAACTTAGTCTCCCTTTTCCTGGGTTCTGAAGCTCTCTATTCTCAGAAAATTGCAGTTTTCCACCTGAAGTTTGGCACTATGTGATTTAGACTCCAGCACATCTGTTGCTTATGATTTTTTAAAAAAAAAACTCAGTTGCCACTGAGGACAATGAACTTCTGCAAAAGAGAATCTGTCAATTAGAGATGTTCTCTTTAGAGCCCTAGTTACTCAGCTCAGTTCTAGAGCTAAGGGAAACTTTGTCTACCCGCAAAAAGGTGTCTGTGTGTTTGTGTTCAGTACAAATGTCTCAAGAAGCAGTAGTTGGATAAGAAGGCTTTGAAAATACAATATAGCTCCTAAACTAGGTTCTGTTGGCCTTATTGGGCGGATTTGCTTGAAAATGTTGTGCTAATGGCATTTTCTTGGGGAGAGAGCTCACAGCTTTCCTTCATCAGTTTCTCAAGGAATAGGAGCCTTAACCTCTAGAATGCTAAAAGGACAATGTATCATTTGTTTTAAGTCACTGAAAGCATTTTCATGTCTTAGCTTTACAAAAGACTCAAAACTGCATTTCTGTTTTCTCACGTGTAATATAGAATTGTGCCCCAAACATCTATGTGCTCATTGATTTCACTCAACTTTTTTTCAGTCTGTTTATTTACATCTTGTGGAATAAAACTCCGGGGACACCAGCTGGGAAAACGCTGGCTTAGAAAATTGACATGTTTTTCCATTCATTTCAAATACATCCCAAGCCTGTACTACTGTAAGAATCCGCTGGGTCTGTGGAGACTGCCATCAGGAATGAGGACTCCGGCCTAATGGAACGTAATGTGCAGACACAGGGCTCCAGCATGACGGTTGAGAGCATGTGCATGAAGTCAGTTGGGCCCAAATCTGGACCCAGCTCAGCCCATCTCTCAGTAGCAATTGGATCTTAGAAAAAAGCCATGAAATGTCTTTGAGCCTCAGTTTAGATCCCTCATCTGTGAAATGGAGCTAAGCAGGTAATTACTATTATACGTGACTTTTTTAGATTCTTTTTGGAAAACAAAAATTTTTTTTGGCTTAATGTGTGATTTGATCTGGATTCTCCCTCCTTCCTCTCTAACTTTGCTTCTTGGCCCCCAAGTTCATTTTGCTCCAGATCCACTGGCTTTCTTTTCTGTACCTTGAGTAAAGCAAACTTATTTCTATCTAAGGCTCTTGGCATCTGTTATTTCCTCTACCAGGAGGTACTTCACTGGATTGCTACTTTTCTTTTGCTCATGCTTTCTTTTCTTTTCTTTTTTTTAATTTAATTTTAAAAAAACGAATTATAGTTGATTAACAATGTTGTGTTAGTTTCACGTTTACAGCAAAGTGATTCAGATATATAAATATATTATTTTTCAGATTCCTTTCCATTATGGGTTATTACAAGATATTGAATATAGTTCCCCAAGTCCTTGTTTATCTCCTCACTCTTTCTTATCCTTGGATTTAGCTCACACACATTCCCTTAGCATTTTCATGACCATTCACTACCATATATACTCACTATCACCTTTCTGTTACTGTTTTCTCAGTACTTACTGTTATTTAATACTTGTCTAGTTTTCTTTAAAAAAAAATTTTCTCCTCATCTGAACTTGTTGAAGGCTGTGGTCCCTGGACTCAGGACAGTGTCCAGCAGGGGAAAGAGCTCAGTAATATATATTTGTTGAATAAATGAACAAAGTGAAATAAAGTGGTACGAAAAGAGTGTAGACAAGGCGATGGGAGATATTAAAAACTCATCAACATTAGCAGTTTGGTTTTATATACTCTTGTTATTTATGGAGTCAGATGCGCTACGAGGTTGGCCTATACTCTTGTTATTTATAACATCTACATTTCAGAAGAGGAGATTCGTGTTTACATTTGCATAACAAACTTGGTCAAGAAAGTAATTGGTCTAGAACAATAGTCCCATATCAGAGGTGAGCCCAGATTCCAACAATGCAAAACAGAATTTCTCTTTCCCCACCCACAAGGTTTACCAAAAATTCTTAAGTGGTTTTCCCCCTGGCTAAATGTGACATCTATTAAAATGACAGAAGGTTACAGTTACTTAAGGGTGATGCAGACACATCCTTTGGAAGGGAAAGTTATTTCCACCTGGAGTTTACGCGGATGCTGGATTGGCCTCTGATGGATAGGTAAGATAAAATGAGTAAATGGTCAGATGGATGGACTGGGAGGGATGCGTGTAGGTGGGGAGGGGGTTACCCCGCAATTTCCGTCAGAGCCACCAAAAACCACCCCAAATAAACCTTCAAGCTAAGTAAGAGAACTGGGCCTGCTTTGCAAATACAGCAGCTTTAACCATGTCCAATCAGATCCCACCCATATGCCTCTCCTAGCCACTTTGGGGCTGGGCTGTTAACTGGATCTAGGTGTAGAGAGAAGACCATAGCCTGGACTCCATTTCCTCTTCTTAAATGAATGGTGGTAAATAAGGTTAAGGCTGGAATCAAGAGCCTCAAATGCCAGGGCAAGAGCCTGCACCATTAAGATCTCTAGAGCGATCAGTAAATGACCTCATGAGTAATGTGGTTAGAGAGGAAAGAGACCAATGTGAGGAGGCCAGAGACAAGGCTGTTAATTGTCCAGGCAAAAAAGGCAACATGGGCTCCAGAATCACAGGAGAATAAATACGAACAATTTTAAAGAAAAGAAAAAAGAAAGATGGGACAAGAGTCATACAGGTCAGAGGAGTCCAGTAGAGCTGTGCGGACCGGAGGCGCAGCAGCATGTTGCGCGAGGGTTTCAAGGGGTTCGTTCTAATGCTTTTGGCCCATAGGATACAAATATTCTGTGCCTCTTCAAAATAATAGTCCCTTGTGTCTACTGGCCATATCATGAAATAGAAATAATGAAGGCACTGTATCTTTTAAAAAAAATCCCCTTTTGTAGCACTTCCTTAAAAACAGCCACTTAATGCAACTCTGCCAGTGAGTTCTTGACAGTTCTTTCTTAACGATTCTGATGTTAATGAAACAACTTGCTAAAGGGTTGAAGTGTCTTCCTGGTAAGTGTTTAGCTTATGTTTTTCAAAATTCCTTGTAGTAACTGTTAATTTTCTTCTTTGGCCTAATGAGTGTTTCTCACTGACGGCCTATTCTGATACTAAAAATTAAGCAATTAAAGTGATCGATAATGTTTTCAAGCTTTTTCCTTCCCTTTGGGTTTGCTACTTTCAAGAGTCATGATGGTTTGGGGGATATTTTAGTCAAAGTGAGTAGTTCCATTTAAGTATTTAATTCAAAGTACTACACTCAGGTTATTTTGATATTATTTGATGATAACTCAAGTTATTTACTTTGGTACTTATGAGTTGAGGCATAATTAATTGAATGTTATTGACATGGGCTTTTAAAAATACATATACTGATAATATCCATTAGGGACCATAGCCCAAACAGTAATTTATGGATTATTTTTCTGCTAAATTGTTTAACACCTCCCACACTGGGAAGCTGTTTTTTTTTTCCCCTAGCTTTACTGAGATAATTGACATGTAACATTGTATAAGCTTAGAATATACAACATGAGCATTTGGCATATATCTATATTGGGAAGTAATTGCCACAGTAAAATTAGTTAACATATCCATCACCTCACATTGTTACCTTTTGTTATGGTTTTTCTTCTCATATTCTCTTTTAAACGACATAGTAATTTCAAAGAATAGAATTTTGATGTTTGACATTATATCGATGTGTTATGGCTATGGTATAATAACAGCATTAGATTATATCACCTTATTGTATTATTCAGTGTTAAAGAGTAAGTTCATTGTGTTTGCAGGATAAATGCTAAAAACTTGTACAAACAGAGCTGGTTGATGTGTTTAATGAAATGATAAGGCATGTTAGACCCAACCTACGTTCTTTCTTGTTATGTGGATTTGTTTGTTTTTTGTGCAGTTTTATAGAACAAAGTTATAAAGTTAAAAAAAACATTTAATGTGGGTCAGTATGATAATTGTTATTTAAAACAAAATCTAAATGACTTACAGAGATAAAGTAGGTAACGTAAAATTATAGACTGGGGCTCTTAACCTAGGATTTTAGAATGTCTACGCGTGGGTTTCAGAAAGTACATTTTATTTGTAATGTTTTTTGTTTGTTTGTTTTTGTTTTGGGAGGAGGTAATTAGATTTATTTGCTTACTTATTTTTTAATGGAGGTACTGGGTATTGAACCCAGGACCTCATGCATGTTTACCATGCACTCTACCACTGAGCTCTACCCTCCCCTTATGTAATGTAAATTCACATTTCATGAGAGAAGAGGCATATTTTTCACTAGATTCTCAGAAGTCTATATGACACCAGAAAGGATGAAAAATAAAAATCACACACAGACATAAAAATCACTGTTATAAATGGAGAGCCATGCTAAAGTAAAAAGATTTTGATTTCCAGTATTTTAAAAGAATTTTGAAATACTTACTCAAATTATTTCTGTATTTTCATATAAGTTGTTTACATAATTAACTATTTAGTTATTTTAACATTTAAGAAATTTTATAATGGAAGAAAAGCAAAAATAAATCCTTGTAGGAATTTCTTTAGAAAGAAAATTTGTACTCGTCAAAGAGAATTCAGATGGTACTTTTGGTTTATATAAGGTATATCCAGAAAATATTTTAAGGAAGGTTCTTTTAATTTAGAGGCAAATCAAATAGAGACACTGTTTAATTTTGTTTTTTAAATATTAATCTTTTCCAGAAGTGCCAGTTTATTAATGAAGCATGGTAAGTCGGCATTTAAAAATCTTCTTTACTCTTCCTCTATTTTGAAAATAAAATATATAGATTAGATTAATAAGGGTATGAAATGGTTTGCAAAACAGTTCAGTTTTAGATCTTGGAGACATGCTTTTGAAATTAAGAGCGTTTCATCTTTAACTAATAATGCAAATTCTGTTTGATTAAAGATATTTCCTTGATCCCTTTTTCCAAATCAGTCTCCTGCTCTACAGCTCCTTGCTAAAAATTTATAAAATGTTAAATACTATACTATAGAAAGAGTACCATGCTCTAAATATTATAGAGCAATGGATCTCAACCAGGGTTGATGTCCCCCAGGGTATATCTGGCTATGTCTGAGACACTTGTGGTTGCCACAACTGTGGGAGGGCTACTGGCATCTAGTGGGCAGAGGCCAGGGATACTGTTAAGCAACCTACAAATGCACAGGACAGGACCCCCCACAACAGAGACTTAGTCAACCTAAAATGTCAGTAGTGCTGTGGTTGAGAAACTCTCCTTTATATCAGGAAAATTAAGTTCAACTGGTGATTTCCTAACTCCAGAGTTTGGTCTTTGTTCCAGCAGGCTTGTGTTGAACAAGACAAGCTGGGTCAAGCATTTGAAGATGCTTTTGAAGTATTGAGGCAAAATTCCACTGGAGATCTTCAGTACTCCCCAGGTAAAGATGCCAGTCCCCTTCTTCCACTGGTACATCAAAGGGCTTATTGGTCACAGTCATACACATGTGAGAATAATGACCTGAACAGAGAAGACCATTTTTACCCAATGCGACTAGGATTGATTCTAATGAAGGCAAACAGCATCCAGGGTTATCTATCCTAAATAAAAATGTTTAGGTTTAGTATATTATATTTTATATTTTTACTATTACTGAAGTATAATTGATTTATAACATTATATTAGTTTCAGGTGTACAGCATAGTGATTCAGTATTTTTGCAGATTATACTCCACTATATGTTATTACAAGATAATGGGTATAATTCTCTGTGCTTTACAATATATCCTTGTTGCCTATCTATTTTATACATAGTTTGTATCTGTTAATCCTATGCCCCTAATTCATCCCTCCCTGCTCTCCTCTTGCCTTTTGGTAACCACAAGTTTGTTTTCTATATCTGTTTCTGTTTCTATTTTGCTTGTGTTATTTTTTAGATTCCACATAAGTGATATCATTACAGCACTTGTCTTTTTCTGTCTGACTTATTTCACTAAGCATAATATTTTCTAGGTACATCCATGTTGCTGTAAATGACATTATTTCATTCTTTTTTGTGGCTAAGTAGTATTCATATATATATGTATATATATATATATACCACATCTTCTTTATCCATTCATCTGTTGATGGGCACTTGGGTTACTTCCATGTCTTGGCTATTCTAAACAGTGCTGCTGTGAACACTGGGGTGCATGTATCTTTTCGAATTAGAGTTTTTGTTTTCTTAAGAGTGGAATTGCTGGGTCATACGGTAATTGTTTTTTTTTTGAGGAGGCTCCATCCTGTTTTCCACAGTGGGTGCACTGATTACATTCCCACCAACAGTGAACAAGGGTTCCTTTTCTCCATATGCTCTTCAACATTTGTTATTTGTAGACACTCTGACCAGTATGAGGTGACACCTCATTGTCGTTTTGATTTGCATTTCTCTAATAATTAGTGATGTTGAGCCTGTTTTCATTAGCCATCTGTATGTTTTTGGAGAAATGTCTATTTAGGTCTTCTGCCCATTTTTTGATTGGGTTGTTCTTTTGATATTGACTTGTATGAGCTGTTTATATATTTAATGTTAACCCCTTATGAGTCATATCATTTGCAAATATTTTCTCCTATTCCATAGGATGTCTTTTTGTTTTGTTAATGGTTTCCTTTGCCATGCAAAAGCTTTTAAGTTTAATTAGGTCCTATTTGTTTATTTTTGCTTTTATTTCCTTTGCCTTAGGAGAGAGATCTGCTTATGTTCTCTATCCTAAATAAATTTAATGCCTCATGTATAAAAATGCAGAGAACATGGAGAATGACATTCCACAAAGGAACACTAAGACATATGATTATTATTAAGCATATCTAGTTGACATTTGTTTATCTAATGGACAGATCATTTTAAGTGTCCAGAAAGGATTTTTTAATTATTCTGATTTACTTACAGATCCTCCGCCCATCCATGGGAGTGGTTGTTCTACTCAGAAGAGAAAATTTTTTTACTCTTCCTTACCCATTACCCTATAGACTATAGAAAGATAGTCTAGATGAGATGCAGATATTTTGCCTATTGAGTTTATACAGGGTATTGTGGCACTTCCAAGTTAAAAAAGAAACCATGGGATCTCAGCCTGCAAGGAGCTTGTACTCCAGTATGGGAGATACAATATGTAAAAAAGCGTCTGAAGTACCAGCATTAACACGATAAATGCCATAAAGAAATGCAAAGTGGAAACAGAACACAGGAAGGAGCAATTGCATATATATGCATACACACATGTATAAGCACACACACACACACACACACACACACACACACACACACACACAAATGTAAACTTTGACATTGTCAGTTTCTTTCTCTGTTTTTTAATTAGATTACAAAAATTACCTGGCTTTCATCAACCACCGTTATCATGTCAAAGGAAATTTCAACAGCTGTGGTGTGCTGCCTACAGAGGAACCCACCTATAATCGGAGAACAGTAATAGTGAGTACTTTTACCAGGAGAGCCTCCCTCAGGAAGAGGCAAATTTCCTATTTGTACCAGCCTTCCCTGGGTATATGCTAGCTGAAAGCAGCTTAAAGACAGCATTGACTAAAAAGGCTTATTCACAACCATCTCTGGTGTGTGAATTTGACAGTCAAAATGGGGAATCATTAATGCTGTCAAGAAGGAAACTGCCCTTCATCATTGTTCTTTATCTGGCTTCAGACTAGTTTGAATAATTTCTATAAAGAGGAAGTATTTTTTAGGGTTCTCACATCAGTGCTTCTCCTTAGTCCATCTAGAACATTGCAGGAAAGTTATGGTTCCCCTAAAATATCCTGTGTACCAGCTTTACCTATAATCTTGTATTGACCTGCTCTACTTTCCTCCCAAGCTCAGAGCTAGCTATGCATATTGGACCAATGCGTTTCTATTTTAGTAGCCTCCTGCAAATGGAAATGTCCCCACCACCTATCTCTCTATCCATGTGTTCTTTTACATTGTTTTCTTGATGTGTCTTTTTTCTTTTTTCTTTTTTTTAATTGTTAACTCTTTTATTTTCATTCATCACTTGTTTGATGTGTCTTTTTTCAAGCAGTCTTAGTGTGGTGAGTGTAAATATGATATGTTTTTTTTTTTCAGCCATAACCTTCCACCATGCTATGTCAAATGTCCTTTTTCTGTCCCTGTAAATTGTACTGCCAGGGTCTCTCCAACAAGACATTTCTTTAAAGAGGGAGTTTTGGTTTCAGCTTAACCTCTTTCACCTCCACTTAGAGTTACCAGGTAAAATATAGGATTCCTAATATTTTTATTTGCTAAATCTGGCAACCCTACTTCCACTTCCACTTCCTAGCATACACTCTTGTGGCTGGGGACACCTTACCTGCTGGGCAGCCCTCTTGTGTAGGGTGTAGTAGGATGGCTTAAGTCCAGCCACTTTCACCATGTCTGGTTAATCCGTGGAAGCCCGCATCTCCTTGCCATATGTAGTGGTAGGAGCTCAAGCTGCTTTCTCTTGTCTCCTCTCTTGGCTTTACCTTTCCTTGGCTGCCATCTTTCTCCTCTTATCTCCTCTTGCCCACATGGGCATCTAGTTCAGGAATGGAAGCCCACAGGCTCCTACCCGCCAGAAAGACTCAGGACGTGGCAGGAGCACTGGTGACCTCTTGCCGGCCCAGGGGTGAGAACCAGGCAAAAGAGGGCGTGTCCCCTGCCCACCCCACTGCTCCCTCGCCCAGCTCTGTCCAACCACAGCTCCCAGGCTACAGAGTCCCTAGGCTAAGTCTCCCCCAGTGGGCCCCGCCGGTCAGGGTGTCAGGACCCACCGCTACCCGAGGGCTGTGTCCCTGAGGAAAGACGGCTGTAGGTGGGCGGGGGCTGTCGGGCCGGGGCAGCCCTACCTTGCAGCAGGGCAACATCAGCCGCAGGCCATGGGACGGGCTCCGGGCCTTGTGGTAGTCCAGGAGCCCGGGCAGGCTGGGCAGGGCACGGCCTGGTTGAGGTGCAGTCGGCCGGCCTGCCGCCCGATCTCGTGGAGCCACACAGCCTGCCTGTCCTGCACTGGACGGAGGGGGACGCTCGTGAACAGGTGCAGGGAGGGGCCGCAGGCGAGGGCTGCCCCAACCAGGGAAGGAGAAAACCCCGCCAGACCCCAGGGACAACCGCCCAGACAGGCGGGGCCTGCACTCACGGAGGGCGTCGGAGCTCCCGGAGCAGCGCAGGGGCGGGGCAGGCTGGAGGGGGCGGGGCAGGCCGGAGGGGCTGGTTCTCAGCATGCAGCGAGGGTTTAGGGACAAGGAGCCCCAAACTTAGGCACTGGGGGCGCTGCAGTGTGGAGCGGGTGGGAAGCGGGTACCCAAAAGGACAGAGTCGGCGCCCAGCTTCTCGCCGACCCTGATCAGGAAGGCCCGTGGCTCGTTGCCCTTGGCCTACAGTCTGTGTGAGGCTTCCGTGTGAGATTTGGCTGAAGAACCACCTGCGGGGCGGGGATCCTGAGCCGTGCCCACCCAGAGTCCCAGTCCCCCCTTGACCGTCTGCTTCCTCACGCCCCCAACCCTCACCCACAGCTGCCCCCTGACGCTCACTGACCTCGAGGCCCCTTCTTTGCCCATCACTGACCCCAAATGTCGCAAGTGGCCAGTTCTGGACAGCGGGAAAGGCCCTAGTGACTCAGCAGTGGAGAAGGCCCCTCCCACCACTCGACCTGGTGTTCCGTCTGTGAGGACAGAGCCACCCCACCTGTACCCACTTGGATCTTTCTCACTGGGCGTTTTTAGGGGGTAGGAGGGAAGCAACTTACTGTCCTTTCTCATAGGGAGAGGAGGATATAGAACTCCTCCCAAAACCTAAGATTACCCTCTATCCCTTGGCCCTCTCCATAAATGGGTTTGATGCTAGCTCTGCCCTGGGAGGTAGCAGTTGAAGGTAGTGCTTTTCAGAATTTGAGAGATGCTGAAGACTCTTTGCCGTCAGCTTTTGACTTTAGCTACCAACTGGGAGCCACATGGAAAGTCCCACTTAACATCCTGCTGCATTATTTATATAGAACAGTGCTGCAGACCTCTATTTTGAAGGAAATATTCATCAGTCTCTGCAGAACATCCCTGAAAACCAGCTGGTACAACCTTCTGTTCTCCAGCAAAAGGGAGGAAAAGGTATGTGGATCACTCTTTGTATAGGTAAAAGAACGAAGCCTTCCTCAAAGCAGCTTTAAGGGGATTTCATATCCGAGTTTGGAATTGCATTTGCAAAATACTCTCTTCTCACAATTGAGAGTAATTTAGCTCAGACAGATAAATCACTCCAAGCTGTTCATCTTGGGTGAGTTTTTCCCTATTGCTTCATAGAGATGTTGTGAAGGTGCAAAATGTCACTTTGCTCAAATAAATCTGTATTCAAGAGTAAGGTGGAGGGGAGGTACAGTATAGCTCAGTGGTAGAGTGTATGCTTAGGATGCACGAGACCCTGGGTTCAATCCTTAGTACCTCTGTTAAAAATAAATAAACAAACAAACAAACAAACAAACAAACCTAATCAACTGGCACTACCTCCCCCAGAAGAATAAAGTATAAGATACAGAGAACAAACTAGTGGGGAGTAGGGAGAAACAATGTAGGGGTAGGAGATTAAGAGGTATTATTTATCAAATAAGCTACAAGGATATATTCTACAACACAGGGGATATAGTCAATATTTTACAATAGTTTTAAATGGAGCATAACTTTTAAAAATTGTGAATCACTGTATTGTAGATCTGTAACTTATGTAATATTGTACATCAACTATATTTTAACTTAAAAAAACAAGGTGTATATATTTTAGGTCTGTATTTTAGGAACTTTTCCTAAAATTATTTTACCAGTCTTATTCCAGTTGTGAAGCCCTCAGCATCAAAGTCATGTTCTTTATTAAATTTTCTGAAAACAAATTCCATTCATTTATTTCCTAGATTTGAAATCCTGATTTCGTAAATTTAGGATGATCTCATTTGACGTTTAGGCAAAAGTGTCAAAGCAGGAGAGCGGCCTCTGTTGGCTGAGACGTGGGCCACACGTGCACTATTAAAGGGAGTATAAATTGGTACAAAGTTTTATAAGACAATTTAGCAATACCTATCAAAACTTTAAATGTTCATATCTTTTGACTCTTAGTGACTATATAACTCAGTGGTTGGGTGTGAACTCTTGGTTCATAATGTGAGCCTGGCCAAATCACTTACCCTTCTGTACCAGTTTCCTTATTCAAAAAACAAATAGTAATAATTGTACAGACATTGTAAGAGTACTGTAAAAATTAAGTGAGAATACCCCATAGTATGGCACTACAGATATTTCTCAAAATACTTTAAACATGTGTGTGTACATATATATGTATTATGTTCCTTGCAGTGTTGTTTGTGATAGTAAAAAAATGGAAACTCACCTACCGTATACAGAGACGTATAAGATGCAACCCAATTTTATAGTGTAATTTTAAAAATGATACTATCCTAGCTACTTCATTATTTTGTTTTTAAAAAAATTTTATTTATCATTTTACTTTTTATTTTTTATTGAGATATGGTTGATTTATAATATTATATTAGTTTCGGTTTACAACCTAGTGATTCAAAATTCTTATAGATTAAACTCCATTTAAAGTTATTATAAAATATTGACTATATTTCCTGTGCTGTGTAATACATCCTTGTAACTTCTTTATTTTATATATAGTAGTTTTTACCTCTTAATTCTCTACCCTATCTTCCCCTCCCTCCTTCCCTTGCTCTACTAGTAACCACTAGTTTGTTCTCTATATATATGAGTCTTTTTCTGTTTTGTTACATTTGTTTTTTTATTTTTATTTTTTCATTTGTTTATTTTTTAGATTCCACATATAAGTGATAACATACAACATTTGTCTTTCTCTGTCTGACTTACTTTACTAAGCATAAGACTCTCCAGGTCCATTCACTATGTTGCAAATGGCAAAATTTTATTTTTTTTATGGATAGGTAATATTCCATTGTGTGTGTATATTATGTGTGTGTGTGTGTGTTTGTGTGTACTTAATCCATATTCTTAATCCATTCATCTATTGATGGACATTTAGGTTACTTCCATATCTTGGCTATTATAAATAATGCTGCTATGAACATTGGGGTGCATGTATTTTTTTTAACTAGTGTTTTCATTTTCTTTGGATATGTACCCAGGAGTGAAATTGCTGGATCATATGATAGTTCTATTTTCAGTTTTTTTGAAGATCGTCCATGATGTTTTCCACAGTGGCTCTACTGATATACATTCCCACCAACAGTGCACACAGGGTCCCTTGTCTCCACATCCTTGCCAACATCTGCCAACATCTGTTATCTGTCGTCTTTTTGATGATAGCCATTCTGACAGGTGTGAGGTGATATCTCATTGTGGTTTTTATCTGCATTTCTCTGATTAGCGATGTCAAGCAAAAAAAGATTTGCACGTGCCTGTTGGCCATCTGTATGTCTTTGGAAAAATGTCTATTAGGTCTTCTACACATTTTTTAATTGGGTTGGTTGTTTTTTGATATTGAGTTGTATGAGCTCTTTATGTATGTTATATATTAACCATTTATTGGTCACATCATTTGCAAATAGTTTCTCCCATTTGGTAGTTGTCTTTTTGTTTTGTCAGTTATTTCCTTTGCAGTGCAAAAGCTTTCAAGTTTAATTAGGTTCCATTTATTTTGTTTTGGTTTGGTTTTTTGCTTTGGTTTTACATTTAGGTCTTTAGTTCATTTTGAGTTTATTTTTGTATATCATGGGAGAAAGTGTTCTAATTTCATTCTTTTACATGTAGTTGTGCATAGATAACATTTTTTAAATCAGTATTTTTTGAGATAACTAGTTTTATTTCTATAAAGCAGTATACTGAAAAGACAACCTATGGACTGGGAGAAAATATTTGCAAATAGTGCAGCTGACAAGGGCTTAATTTCCAGAATATACGAACAGCTCATACAACTCAATAACAAACAAACAAACAAAATGCCCCAATCAAAAAATGGGCAGAAGATCTGAACAGACATTTCTCCAATGAAGACATACAGACGGCCAATAGGCACATGAAAAGATGCTCAATACTGCTATCAGAGAAATGCAAATCAAAACTGTAATGAAGTATCATCTCACTCCAGTCAGAATGGCCATCATTAAAAAGTCCACAAACAGTAAATGCTGGAAAGAGTGCGGAGAAAAGGAAACACTTGTATACTGTTGGTGGGAATGTAATTTGGTGTAGCCATTATGGAGTACAGTATGAAGATTCCTTAAAAAATCTAAAAATAAAGTTATCATATGATCCAGCAATCCCACTCCTGGGCATATATCCAAAGAAAACTCTAATTTGAAAAAATACAGACACTCCAGTATTCACAGCAGCACTATTTACAATAGCCAAGACATGGAGGCAACCTAAATGTCCACTGGCAGATGATTGGATAAAGAGGTGTGGTATATATACACAATGAAATACTACTCAGTCATAAAAAATGAAATAATGCCATTTGCAACAATGTGAATGGACCTAGAGATCATCAAACTAAGTGAAGTAAGTCAGACAGAGAAAGACAAATATCATATAATATCACTTATACACATAATCTAAAAAATGAGACAAATGAACTTACTAACAAAACAGAAACAGACTCACTGACATAGAAAACAAACTTAAGGTTAAGGAATGGTGGGGGAGAGATAAACTGGGGATTTGGGATTAGCAGACACAAACTACTATATATAAAATAGATAAACAAAGTCCTACAGGATAGAGCACAGGGAAATATATTCAATATCTTGTAATAATCTATAATGAAAAAGAATATGAAGTATATATATATGTGTGTAACTGAATCACGATGCTGTACCCAGAAACTAACACACCATTGTAAATCAACTATACTAGCTATACTTTAGTAAGAAAAAAATTAAAAAACCGTATACTGTATCCTAGAATGATAAAATTCTAAATATGCAGTAATAGTCTAACCTAGCAAGGAGTAATGTATAAAATCACATAAGTAAAATAAATCTACTGAATATTAGTATTGAATATTGAGTGATGGTAGTAATTTAATATGAGGAGGATAACACTTCTACCTCTGTCACCTACACATATATATTTTTTTAAACAAACAAGCCAACTAACTACTAACTCCAGGGTGTGACCCTTACATCTTTTCACTGATGTTTTGTGCTGTGGATCTTTGTCATTAGGGAACATATCATTTACCATTTTCTGTTTTTAGAGCTAGTCTTCCACCTGAAATAGGGGTACATTTAAAACAAATTTCAAAACACTTTGGGGATTCATTATTGGAAGAAAAATAGTACATACATAAAACAGAACATGTATAGTTATTAAAAGGCAAAGAGGCATACTTTAAATTTTGATACAGAAAGAACTCTAAAATACATTTTAGTTTCTGTTGTAATCCTTTTTAATTCCATAATTCAAAAGTAATAATGCTCATTATTAAAAATTCAAATGATTCAGAAGTATGTAAAGAATAAGTGAAAATATTCTTTCTTCTCATGCTATGCCCTAGAGGTAACCATTGTCAACAGTTTGATATTTCCTCTGTCTATAGCTTATCTCTATAGTGTTCTATGATTTATTTAAGATATATTAATCACTGGAAAAAGTACAAAGTAGTAAAATATCATTTTTCTTATTTTTTTTTAGTTGAAGTATAGTCAGTTTGCAATGTTGTGTTAATGTCTGGTGTACAGCATAATAGTTCAGTCATACATATACATGCATATATTCCTTTTCATATTCTTTTTCATTATAGGTTACTACAAGATATTGAATATATTTCCCTGGCTATACGGTATAAACTTATTGTTTATCTATTTTATATATAGCAGTTAGTATCTGCAAATTTCAAACTCCCAGTTTATCCCTTCCCACCACCCCACCCTGGTAACCTTAAGGTTGTTTTCTATGTCTGTGTGTCTGCTTCTGTTTTGTAAATGAGTTCATTTGTCTTTTTTTAGATTCCACATATAAGTGATATCATATGGTATTTTTTTTCTCTTTCTGGCTTTCTTCTCTTAGAATGACGATCTCCACATCCATCCATGTTGCTGCAGGTGGCATTCTTTTTTATGGCTGAATGGTATACCATTGTATAATTATACCACAACTTCTTTATCCAGTCATCTGTTGGACATTTAGGATGTCCAACAGATGGACATTTAGGTTGTTTCCATGTATTGGCTATTGTAAATAGTGCTGGTATGAACATTGGGGTGCATGCAAAATAGTAAGATACCATTTTAAATTTTTTAAGGAGACGCATCTGTTTATATATGCAAAAAATAAAACATTTCTAGAAGTATATAGGATAGATTGGAGCTTTTACTTTCACTTTGTGCTTCTGTTTGAATTTCTTATCACATAATACTTTTATTTTTAAACAGTAAAAATTTAAACATTGTTTTCAAAATTGAAAATAAACATTTAAAAGATGAGGCTCCACTGTAATTAATTTCACCACTGGATTCTCATCCAGTGAGAATGAGTTTGTTTAAGGCTCTGACTTTAATTCATGATGCTTTTTGGTAAGTCCCTTTCATTTCTCAATTCATAAACTCAAGATAATATAAGACAAAAGATAATCTTTATAAAAACTTTTGAGGTTTTAGGATGAATGATGACTGATGCATGAGTATTACACCCCAGAGACTATTTAAAGCAGCTTGGGAATCCACTATTCTACTTTCTCAAGGGGAAAATGGAATTTGGCCATGGAGTTTTTAGCTACTGACAGATCTGGCAGGGCGCGGTATTTGCAGACCAATTCAGAAGTCACAAAACTCGTTGTCACCTTTGTTCCCCAATCCACTGAGTAAACCAAAAACAACAAATCTTCCAAAAGTTTCTTTTCTAGTTATTCTGAAATATGAAGGGCTGCATTCCTAAAAGAGATTAAAAACTCTGGCAGTACTGTTTTATTTCACAGCAATGAAAAGTATCACAGTGCTTACTGTCATCACTCATAAATAATGTCAAGTGTCATGAAGATATTCTGGCATTTTCCACTCTGATTTTTTCTATTTTTTTTTTTTGGTCTTTTCTATTCTTTACTTTTCAAGTAATTATGCAGAACCAGAGTTAGCAATTTTACATGTCTTTATTATTGATTTCACTTATATTTGCACACTGTTTTGTATTTTACAAAATGCATTCCCCTCCTGTACCTCATTTGACTTAACTTATTTGAATAAAACCCCTTCAGATGGTTTGCTTTTTGGAAACGGCTTTTGAGGCTTCTCTTTAAAACCAGTAAACTTTGCAGTCCACTTGTCTCCGTTTTGTTGTTCCGAACACAGTTTAACATATGACATAAAACTAGTCAAGATTTAACTGTGAAGAAAGAGCACACACAAGGGAGACGCACGTAAAGAGGCTCCATGCTTCCCTTCCCCAGTGAAGGACAGTACAAAATTTTTGACAACTTCCCCAACAAAGCAAGGTTCAGTTGAAACTTCAGTAGGCCAAACAGATCCTTGATTTTCATGTCCCGTAAAATGATACTGTAAATACATTCTAAGGAGGGAAACCAGCCCTAATGCAGCTTTGAATTCTGTAGTCACTCAATAAACTTTTCCCGAGGACATTCCTTGTGTACAACCACTGTGGAGTTTGACATTGTTTTCCTCTGTTCTAGGAAGGAAGAAGCTCCGACTGTTTGAATACCTTCACGAATCCCTGTGTAATCCCGAGATGGCGTCTTGTATTCAGTGGATAGATCAAACCAAAGGCATCTTTCAGTTTGTATCAAAAAACAAAGAAAAACTTGCCCAACTTTGGGGGAAAAGAAAAGGCAACCGGAAGACCATGACTTACCAGAAAATGGCCAGAGCCCTGAGAAATTATGGAAGAACTGGGGAAATCATCAAAATCCGGAGAAAGTTAACTTACCAATTCAGTGAGGCCATTCTCCAAAGACTTTCTCCATCTTATTTCTTGGAAAAAGATATCTTCTACTCACAGTATGTTCAACCCGATCAAGGATATCTCAGTTTAAATAACTGGAATGCAAATTATAATTATACATATGCAAATTACCATGAGCTAAGTCACCCTAATTGCTAAATGCACTCTTACATTTCAATTTTCTAGCATTGGAAATTCCTACAAATTTTAGGATTTTTCACTTAAAGCAAATACTGAAGAAAAAATAACTTTATTATTGCTGTCTTTTGTGAACTAGTACATAATCTCTACTAACTTGAGAAATTTTGCCAGTGAACAACTTTAAAATGATCAAGTCTCGTTTGAAAGTATAGACTAAATGTCCTTCCTCTAACCATTGTCTTTGCAATGCTTTCTTCTAGATTAACAGTGCCAGTAGAGATTATTTGATTTATATATTGATTTAAACATTGTTTTCCTGTCATACACTCAGACAAACAAATCACTGTAATACATATAACCAACAGCTTTAGCAACAAAACAAAAAAATGATTGCCTGTGATAGTGTTCAGGCCAAATAACATTCATAGCTTTAAAAACTTCAGTGGCAAAAAATAAAGCTGCCATATGATCCAGCAATTCCATTCCTGAGTATAAATCCAAAGAAAATGAAAACACTAATTCAAAAAGATAATGCACCCCAATGTTCATAGCAGCATTATTTATAATAGCCAAGATATGGAAGCAATATAAGTGCCCATTGACAGATGAATGGATAAAGATGTGATATATTAAATATAGGAAGATATTATATATATATATGGAATATTACTTAGCCATAAAAATGAAATTCTTCCTTTTGCAATAATGTGATGGACCTAGAAAGCATTATACTTAGTGAAATAAGTCAGATGGAGAAAGACAAATATTGTATATTATCACTTATATGTGGAATCAAAAAATGGAAACAAATGAATATAGCAAATAAATGAATATAGCAAAATAGAAACAGACTCAAAGACAGAGAACAGGCTAGTTACTTGTGGGGAGGGGGGAAAGGGAGGGGGCAAGATAGGGGTAGAGGATTAAGAAGTACCGGCTACTGTGTATAAAATAAGATACAAGAATGCAATGTACCTCATAGGGAATATAGTCAATATTTTATGATCGTTTTAAATGGAGCATAATCTAGAAAAATATTGAATCACTATGTAGTACACCCGAAACTCACATCTGAAACTAATATTGTAAATTGACTGCATTTTTAAAACATAAATAAATAAATAAACATCTTAAAATGAAAACTTTAGTGGCTATCCTGAACCTATATTTTCCCTGTATTTCAGACCTCACAGTCTATAACCCTGTGGCGCTAAAGAAGCGATGACTTAAGAAAAATGCCACCTACAAACTCCAAAGCCTGCACTGCCTACAAATCATTCCTTGCATTTCTCTCTTGCCTAGGGTAGATCCAGGAGCTGGAGTCCCTTGCCGTCCTGCCACTCAGCCACACAGAGGTGCTCTTGCACCGTTAGCACTCTGGTCCAACCTTGGACAACCATCTCCTCTTTCCTTGAACTAGCCAAGATAAGTCCTAATCGGAGCTGTTGGAGAAAAAAATTAAAAAGTAAAAGACTTTGATAAAAGATGGAGACTAGTAAATAATAAACCCAGAGAAGAACCGGGAGTTAGGCAGTCTTGCTTGAAAGATACGGTTTATTCTCAACATTCCATAAGAAACTCTGGGAAGAGACTCTTTGTTTCTTACTTGCTGCTTGGCAGGTTTATGCATATGCCATCTGTATTACCATGAAGCAGGAGAGCTTCCTAGGTTGTATGGTCCATCTTCAGTCAAGGCCAAGAGGGCCTGGCCAGCATGTCAAAAGCTCCCTGGAGCTTGCCCTATCAGATTTGTTGCACTCCAAGTCTCCTCTTTTCCTTTGTGCGTTCTTGGTGCCCTTCCTCCCGCAGGGACTCTTCAGAAAGAACATGATGGACCTAGAGTGACTAAATGGAGGCTAACTCAATATTGGCCATAGCCACATGGAGTCTGGGTTTGCTTGTGTCCTTCCCAAATTCGTATGTTGAAACCTAATCCCTAATGGGATGGTATTTGGTGGTGGTGGTGGTGGTGGGGAGGTTATTAGTTCATAAAGGTGGATCCCTAATGAATGGGTTTAGTGTCCTCATAAAAGAGATTTCAGAGAGACTTTCCCCTTCCACCAGGTGAGGGTACTAGAAGGTTGTCGTGTGAACCAGGAAGTGGGCCCTCACCAGACGCTGAATCTGCTGGCACCTTGATCTTGGACTTCCCAGCTTCCTGAACTGTGAGAAATAAATTTCTGTTTATAAGCCACCCAGCTTATGATATTCTGTTATAGCTGCCTGGATGGACTAAAACAGTTTCAGTTAATGCTAACATCAAAGTAGGACTCAGCATTTACACTCATTCTCCCACAAAGTAAATAGGCTTGATAAAATTAATCAAGAACATAAATTTTAACAAAGATTTGAAAGAGGAAATGGTGAAAAGGGTTTACAACAGAAATCATTCAGCCAATAATGTAGTAAAATTCCATTCACATTTTGCTTCACCTCATCATCCCTCCTACACCCAATACAAGCCTGAGGGCTTCTTCCAAAAGCCCTCTGTCAGCTTCAATTCTCAGGTTACAGAGAATTATACAGAGTTGCTTCTTCTTGGGCAGAAACCTTGGCTCTTTTACCTAAAATACATCAATCAAAGCCTATTTTCACAAGCAAGTTCTTATAAAGATGCTCATACCAGCAGCTCAAAGACTAACCCTCTCCATATATTATGGGAAATGATACCCTATTTCAAACAGAGTGTTACTCCCTGCCCCCACCCAAGGACAAGGAAGAATGACTTCGAGCCTTTATTCGTGGCCCTCGTTCTCTGGTAGGTGAAACCCCATCCTTGGGCATCTTGTCACTTTCGTCTGGTTGAATGGATCAGTTAAACTCTTCCCCAGTGAACAGGAGTTCTGAGAAGCAATTCTGTCCAGTTACAGAGCATCCCCTGGGCAGCTTCCCATTATTTGATCTCTTGGCCCAGGTAGTAAGCATGAAATCTTTCCTTCCAGGTGACTGTCAACTTCCTTTAAATCACAAGATCCTCCTCTGGGCTCTGATCCTGGAGTTTATGGTTCTTCTGTTTAGTTTATCCTCTTTTCTCTCTTTGTTTCGTCCTGTTCATAGCCTTATGAACAGTGACGAGAATAATTTCTTTTTCCTCATCCCAGTCATTCTATGTAGGAAATAGGAAACAGGAAATATTCTATGGGGCAGCCCCGCTCAAATTCATCTCCTTTACTAAATTAAGGAAAAAAACCAAATGCATGAAGTGGATGGCAGCATAATTATAATACATAAACTGAAAAGCAGCTAAAATAATTTCCTTTCCTTCTTCCTCCGTTTCCTTCTTTCTGTTGCTGCCCTGTGCCTTGAAGAATATGCCATGCTCTGGGTAGCCAGTGCTAAGTGAAACAGACATGGTTCCTTCTATCCTGCAGCTTCAATTCTATCAATAATTAATCATAATTTATAAATTCTGTTAATATTTAACCAAAATTTACTTAATGGCTTACTGATGAACAATTCCTTGAGTAGTTGGGTACATATATAGTAAAGCACTTCAAGTGCATTAATGTGGTAGTATTAATTATTTCTAACCTTAACAGTGCAGATTAATGTATATACCCCTATAAACATCATTCCAGATTAAGGTATGAAATATTTCCAAGTACTCCGTAAGATTTTCTCACTTCTCTTCCCAATCTATGCCCACCTTCTTGAATATCGTATAAATGGACTCATACAATATATAGTCTTCTTCACCTGGTTTTAGTTTCCTCGAGGTAATATTTATAGAGCTTATCAATAACTAGAAATACCAGAAGCCTATTCTTTTGAATCATGATTTGTAAAGGATGGTATATAGCCCTGAAATCTCTCCTTTTAATCTCCAACTTTACAAATATAAAATGGACCCTGAATATTTCCATACTCACATGGATAGTGTCACTTTATTATCAGACACCATCCACACCTGTTCTTCAGAGGGCTGGAATGACTCTTACACATTCATATAACCACAATGTTTATTTATATTGAGATATTTTGGTGCATATATATTTTTCTCCAACTCACATAATCTGGGTGGAATTTGATTTTGTATTTTGATGATGTGGATTCTGATAATAAAGATCGTAATGTAAAATAGGTTTTAAACATTTACTCCTTTTTCAGACATTGATGAATGTTAATGAAAACATTTTTAACAACTAAAATGAACCAAATGTTTTCAAGTTTTCTGCCCCCAACTCGGAGCTGAAGATACCTGTGTTTGCCCTTGCAATGTGATGAAAAAGTGCTTTGAATTTGATGAATGGCTGCCTGTCTAACTTACACATGGATGGATTTTCAGGGCAGTGGGTAGATATAAGAAAGAAAGAGGACAGCAAGTAGGGATTGTGTGTTCTTTGTCAGTCATCAACAGTGAGGTATCCTGTGAATGTGTGAAATATTCCACCCCAAGAATTGTCTGTCAGGATAGCCCTGACTTACTCACGTCATGAACTTTAATAAAGAGCCAGAAGTGGAAGAAGAATCTACAGCATCTAGGTTTTTTCAGTAGTGGGCCACATAATCAGAAGCCCAAATAAGGAGGGCACGTGAATGTTTTAATGGTGATCGATGAGTCAATCATAGGTGCCAAAGAAGTAGATGTGGTTCAAAATGAGATATCTGCAAATCATGCAAGAATAATGCTCTGCCCAGTGATTGGATCTGCTACCAGAGGTAGATTTATTTTCTAGAGCTATAGAAGCTAGTGAAGATTCTCTTTGATAAGCAAGCCCATCCAGGATTTGTAGTGGTAGATTGATCAACAAAAGGCTAGTGAGTTCAGATCCTGCTTAAGTTAACAAATTTCCTATAAAAAACATTTTAAGATGTAGGAGAACAAGTGAAATTTTACGTAACAAGTATCTTTTACATAAGCAATTAAATTATAACAAGTCATGTGATGAAAGATCATACAAGTTTTAGAGTTAGGCTGATAGCTTTTGGACCATGTTGCTTCTTCTCATTAGCTTAGTAAAATCAGGAAGATCAGTTGGGATGCTCGGGGCCTCAAACTGGTTTAACATTTGCTGCTGACAACATCCTACTTCCTGGTACTGAATTTTGAAGCAGTAAACTCTCTTGGTTGTAACTGAAATCAGCTTTGACTCACTAAAGTATTCACTGGGATTTAATGAAGGGTATTAGATTGCTTACAGACTTTCCAAAAAACCTGCACATCAAAGTGAGAACATCATTGTCATTGTTACCAGTCACCAGATGCTTTGACTTACATGTCACTGAACAGAGCTAACATAGCATCACTGCTGCCCCCAGAAACTATCTGGCTGCAATGGCCATTGAATTCAGAGATGATTGTGTACATTACTAGATCCTCATTCAAATTCTGAAAAGGAGACTTCCAATTGGCTGATGCTTGGTCATGTGCTGGTCATGTGCTCACGCTTGGCTGCAAAGAAAGCTAGAAAAGTGATTATCTGGACTTTTGATTCTTGTACTGGGAG